AAACATAAGCGTGCCAGATGATGATCCACTTGATTGATTTGAAATTACAATCAACTCATTTCAGTTTTGAATTCCTATTAACTTGCTAATTTTGTAATTAATTAGTTCTCAAGGACATGAAAAATATTTTGATTTCTTGATGGATTAACATATTTGTAGCATATAATTGTAGTAATATGCGTCTAAAGCCTCATGAGATTGATGTAATTAGTTTTTTCAAACAAAGAATCGTTCTAATCCATGCCCCTCTGTCTTAGAGTAACTCCTTGGGATAATCCAAACATCATTTCAATACTTTGGCCTCTACCTCTGTCATCGATCTTCTCTTGGCTTTTCCTCAAAATCCTTACGTCCCTAACCTTCTCTTTTATACAATCTTTCTAAATTCTAATTCTATTCTCCTCAACATCTACATTTCTGAATGCTCAACTTGTGTACATGTGGTAAATCATGGCAGGTTCTATTGTCATGTAAAACTGTCAACTTTAATGGAACTTTATGATGTTGTAATACATGTAACCAAATTTATGTATGCATTTACTACCTTAACAGGTTACAGTGGATAATTTCTTGAAGTATTATGAAAGCAAGGAGTCAAGACCAATTTTCAACACTGTGGAAGATATGCTCAAGTGGGCAGACTTATACAATCTAACAACACAAACATTAGAAGAAAAATTAGTTGCTCTCAATTATTCTCCTCTCCTCATACAAGAGCTTATCACTGTAAGTTACTTCTTTCCAATTTCCATAAACATGGAAAAATCTTTATAGATAGTAATAAATCCAACATATCATACTTTCTTCAGGTTATAACAAGAATCAACTATGGTCAAAGTGTCAGAATCAGTGGACTTGCAGGTGCTGTTTCTCTAGCTGGATCAGGAGGAAACTTATGGGCAGTTGAAGGTGGAAACTGGCAGATGGCTGCTGGATTAGTCAACAGATCTGATGTTACTTTGCATCTTGAAGAAGAAATAGAATCAGTCACAAATCTTGATGGTTTTTATGAAGTTAATTCCACTAAAGGAAACAGTTACACATGTCAAGTTACAGTGGTTGCTACACCTTTAGATGAGCTCAACATTCAATTCACCCCAAAATTTTCTATCCCAGAAAGAAAATTACAGCATACACATGCAACTTTTGTCAGAGGCCTCTTGAATCCTGTGAGTTCTAACTTCTTATCATTATTTTAAGAGAAAATTACAAAAATGGTCCCTGTGGTATGGCATAATAGGCACCTATAGTCCAACTTGAATAAAATGGACAAACTTGATCCTTGTGTTATTTGGATATTACAAACTTGGTACCTAAGCAGTTAACTCTAACTGCGGGTTAAATACAGTAAATTTACCTTTTTACCCTCACCTTTTTTTATTCATATCTTTGTCTTTTATTAAGATGTCCTGTAGTTAAATACAGTAAAATTACCTTTTTGTAACTATATGACATCTTAATAAAAGAAGTAAGTTACATGAAGGGTCCCTATTGTTTGGGGTAATTTGCGTGCTTGGACCCTAACTTATTTTTTTTAACTTGGAAGGTCCCTACTATTTGTTTTTGTTACGTGCTTGGTCCCTATTGTTTGTTTTTGTTACAGTTACACACTTTGTCTTTGTCTTATCTAAAAAGACTATTATTTAAATAGGAAAAAATGGTGGGGTATGTAAGGTAAGGTAAAGGAGGTGGGTTGGGAGTGTGTTTATTTAAATAAATTAAAAAATCAAGGGAAAAATAGTCTTTTTAGGTAAGACAGGGACCAAACGCGTAACAAAAACAAACAGTAGCGACCTTCCGAGATAAAAAAATAAGTGAGGGACCAAACACCCAAATTACCCTAAATCATAGGGACCATTCGTGTAATTTACTCTAATACAAGACATGAATTAAAAAAGGTGAGGGTAAAAAGGTAATTTTACAGTATTTAACAGGCTCTGCAGTTAGAGTTAACAGCTCAGGGACCAAGTTTGTAATACCCAAATAACACAAGGACTAAGTTTGTCCATTTTATTGAAGTTGGACTATAGGTGCCTATTATGCCATACCACAAGGACCATTTTTGTAATTTTCTATTATTTAAATCCTCATCATAAATTCATAATCTAGTTACAAAATTTTGTATATATATATACTAATGTTTTGATTTGGTTCAGGTGTACTTTGGGTTGGATTCAATGTTGGAGATTCCAGAACTTGTTGGGACTATAGAGAGTGATGAGCTTCCATTTACATGCATCTCCATTCTCAAGGAACATAGTGAGAATGATATGACTTACAAGATGTTCTCTCGTCAAAGTTTGAGTGACACATTGTTGGATCAGATTTTTAGGTAAGATTTGTTGTTTCCCGATTTTATGTTCTCTTTATTATTTACTTTATTTAAGTCACTTTTTTGGGTGATTGGAAATTGGCAGCATAAGGAGTGAGACAATAAGAATAAATTGGGGTGCGTATCCACATTATCATGCTCCTGAGAAGTTTGCTCCTTTTATGTTGGATGATGGACATCTGTATTATGTGAATGCATTTGAGAATGCAGCAAGTACTATGGAAACTGGTGCTGTTGCTGCTGAGAATATAGCGAGACTTGTCCTTTCAAGGTTATCTTCCCAACAGCCTTTGAGAATGTATGGTTTGAAGACTTCTATATTAGATTCAAGCCCTGAGCATCGGGAGTTGTGATATGTGTAAAAATAACCATTTGTTTGTTGTAACGTTACTGTAATAGATCGGGTCAAATAATTAGTTAATGGGGCAAATAATAAGGTACAAGAACCAAGTTCACTCTCCTTAATTTTGGGTAATCGATTTTATTTTCTCACTTGAATTTTGTCCTCAAATGTAGCATGGTACCTATATCACAAAAAACAAAGTTGGTTAACTAAATTGGGAAAAACAAAGTTGGGACTTATACCATGTTATTTCACCTTATTATATTAACTGAATGCAATTCTCTGTAACGTAAGAAAAGTATTATTTTTAATTTTATGTCTGAATATTTTTTTGGTTTCTCAGTTAGTGGTCAAGATAGCTTAACAACGTTGAGTAGTTATATTATCTGATCATTTGACATTAGTCCATCTTTGTAGTTAATGGGAAACATAGATCATGATTCCTTAAAAACATTAACATGTCCAACTAAAATGAACTCCGCGAAACGAATCTCTATGATCAGTCTTCCTCATGAATCAGTGTTAAGATTTCGAAACAGAACTTAACAATAACAATGCAAGATGAACACCTAGAAGAAAGAGAAGAATTTCAATGGTATCAAAATGAGGAAAGATCACATAGCAACATAGGAGGACCCTAATAGCCCGATGATTCCCTCTACACAAACAACAATGCTGAATCCAATCTAACTAGCTACAATGAAGCAGAAGTATCTCTACCTCACTCTCACCAGTTAACTAGATATTGGCCCACTGGGCTTTTCCACAATAGGGTCTTGGTCCAATTCTCTATCAATCTGACACGAAAGGTACAACTGAATACAGAAATCATATCAGAAAATGGAAATGAAGATGTTCTACAGCTTCTAGTAATCAAATCTATTTGTTGGGGAGACTATATGTAGCATGCACTAAGGTATCTTTGACACGCCATTTAAGTTGGAAACTTATTATTTGAGTTTTTTTTGGTTGTTATGTTTGAAAAGTCAAAAAATAGTTTATAACCTAGCTTTTTAAAAAGCTACTCGGTGTAGCTTTTTGAGTAGCTTATAGAACTTTTATTTTTCTAAATTCTTCCATATATATACCTTTAATAATTATAATAAACATGTTTTTCTACGTGTCCTTATATATCATTTCACTTTCCAGCTAGCTTCCCAACTAGTGTTAAACAAAATGTCACTTTTTATATATCATTTCACTTTCCAGCTAGCTTCCCAACTAGTTTTAACAAAATGTCATTTTTTATCAACTAACAGTTGGTTTTTTTAACCACCAGCTAGCATGTCAAACATAACTTAATTTGAAACAAACCGCAACTAATTAAAAGAGACAAATGTTTGTAAATAACCCACTAGTCTCCTCTAATAAATGAAAATCTATTTTGCCACATGTCAAACTTTTATAAGTTTTAACACTTGTTATTTTATGGTATTTTTGAAATAAATAATATCTACATGTCAATTTTTAGGTTTTTTTAATTTTTAAAATTTAAAGCCACATAATACGTATTAGTTATATAAGTAAAATATTAAATGTAATAAAGATGATCATAAATTGAAATAAATATGTTTTTTCCTTTTTTATTTTAAAATTTAACTTTAAAAAAATACTTAATGTTTACATTTTGATATTTAATTTTTTTTTAATTAATCCATGTAATATATGGGTCTCACACCTAGTTAGTTAATTATTTGCCATCACTTACTTAATTGTAGCCCATATAAATGTTTATTGTGATGTTTGTGTTTGTTTCATATTCCCTTTTTTTCTTTCACATGATACAGGGCTATTGACCTACCGTATGATGGAAGTCCAAGAAGTCATTGATCTAATTAAAATGTTAAGTGGAAAAATAAGACCCACAGTTCAACAAACTACCTTTAGACTCGTGTAGCTGAACTTTGAATTGCTTTGGGTCCGTTATTTGGAAGAAAAGACTAACCAAGGAATTTCCCTTTTCTTTTCGATTTTTTTTATGTAATTTTGGTCATTTTGCCATGTGATCATGGTTACAACTCCTTTTATGTTGTTGCATCCTGGTGGACATATTTGGTTTTTTATTCATGGGGCGAGAGAAGGGTTTGGGTGTTAAAAAGATATACCTCATGTGCCTGATTGGAGATAAAGCTCTAAAGCACACTGTCGGTTCTGATGAAAACATATAAAATAGAATTCGTTAATTATCATTCACATAATTCATCCACTTGGACAAAGTAGTTGTAGCTATATCTCCTATTGAGTTTGGTTTTGATCTGGATAGAGTTTGATATATTCATGTTGATCCAACATATCAAAAAACTATATACAAATGGGGCTTAATAGCTAGCGCTGCCGTCTATAATACGTCTTCGGTTCATTGCCAGGCAGTGCAAATAGAGAGGTTTCTAGCAAGTATTCTCCTGTTGTTGTTTGATACGCAGAGAGATCTCCACCAATAATGTGATTCCATGACTTATAATAACCCAACACATCTTCTTCTTCTTCATCCGTCTTTCCATCATCAAACACAAAACTCACCCCACACTCATTTGCAAGTCCAAAATTCATTGCAACAGTAACAGTAACCCAATCACCAGTATCCATCTCATTCTTCCCAAACATCCAATGGCTCAACATTATTAGACTCTCTTCACCTGCAGTGAAACCACCAATGCAATGCTTGTATAACCAGGTTTGGTTCTTAGTTATATTTCTAATTGTGATTACTGGCAAATCAAAGAATTCATTCAAAGATAGAAATGTCTGCACACAGAGGTTCAATCCTTTGATGTTGTTTCGAGATGATGGGATGGTAAATGATATTGATGACCCCTTCCTACTGTGACTAATCCAATTTGGCATCTCTTTTTTGTCTCCATAAATCGTGCTGAATATTCCAAATTCATAATACATCTGCAAAATACAATCACCATAAATTATATACTCAAAAATATTTACACAGAGAGATGGTTAATAGCAAACCTGGATTTCAGATTCGTCATATCCTCTTGACAAAATATTAGTCCAGCCCAAACTACGTAATACCTCTTCCTCAACACTTATCATTGGTTGGATTTCGACCAGACCTTTGATTTCAAAAAACAACTGTAGGAACAATTGCATGTCAACTGAAAACTTGAGTGGGGACATATGTGGATGAAATACGACTTTTCTTAGCAATGGCTTAGAATCAAAAAGGAGGATCAACTCTCTTAGTGTTTTTGGAGGATGCTCGACTGACGTCAGAAATTTACAGTTTCTCATACTAAGTATCTCAAGCCTAGGAAGGCTTCTCACACAATCAGGCATCGAAACAATAGGATTGCCATCTAAATATAATTCCTTTAGCATGGATATGAAACTCAAGTCCATGGGAAAGGATTCTGTGGACATATTATTATCATTTAGCGACAACCTTACTAAAGATCTCGGTAAAGAAATCATAAACAACTTCCTCTCACTTGGTGTAGCCTTCAAAACCATCGCAGATGAAGAGGGTTTTCTGTTGCTAGCCTTGAACATCTCCAGAGGTGTCATATCGCTAATTTCGATTCGAGATTCACCGAGATTATAACCATCTAAATATAATTCTTCTAAATTGGATAGGTGATTGAAGTCTATGGGAAATGATTCTTTCAACAGATTAGTAGTTTTAAGTGACAACCTTACTAAAGATCTTGGAAAAGCAAACATGACAAACTGCAATTCACTTGGTATACCCATCGGAATGTCAGATGAAGAGGGTTTTGTGTTCATGTCAATGGTGTTAGCCTTGAACTTATCTGGAGAATCCACATCCCTACCCTTGACTTGAGATTCATTGAGATTATAAAAACCATCCAGCAATAGTATTTTAACCTTATTTAGCATGCAGATGGTTCTTGGAAGTTTTTCAAGCTTCTTGCAGTAGCTAAAATTAATGAGGACAAGTTCAACACATTCCTCAATTGATTCACAAACCTTACATAGAGCACTGCAATTTGTAACTACTAGCCTCTCAAGTGCAGGGATTTGGTCAAAGCCACCAAGACTACCAAGCTTTTTACAGAAACTTAAATTAAGAATCTTTAATGATCCAAGCAACCTTTTGTTTTTTGAGCATGATCCAGTCAACTGCTAAAATGCACATAAGTTAGAATAGTAGTGAGTTTCATCAACTCAACATGGACTAATTATCAATGGATATAAATTACCTTTTGCCTCTTCGGCTTCTTACTATAACAAATGTCAAATGATTTAATCTTGCTACGTGACATGTCGAGAGCAACCAGATTCGCCATTGGTAAGTCTGAAGGTATAGACTTCAAACAAAACCCATGAATACACAACCATCTTAATCCTTGTGGAAAGTTCTCGTAAGAAGACCCACTTATTTGCACATTAATGAGTTGTAATAGCATAAGCTTATCCATTTTCCTAAACGCATCGGTGTTCAACTCAAATGTTTTATGTGACTTCTCACTCTCACGCATACTCATGTCAAGGCTGAGGCCTAGAATCTTTGTTGTACCCTAAGAAGAAACCGAATGCCAGAAAATCATATAACGTTTACACAATACAAAATACTTTGAACAACTAAGTATATACATAACATGGCCACTTACCTTTTTTTGTTTCAACACTTCAAATGACTCCTCGGGGCACCACAATAGACTTCGCTTCCATGGTTTGTCAGGTGATTCTTCACGGACTACAAATCTTCCCATCTCTTGAAGCAACCCATGCATCATCAACTTGTTGTTCCGTCCGATACTAAGAAGGCATCTATCAGTGAGAATCTTGATACCAGATATTGTTTCTATACCACATGACTTCAATATCGTTTCACTAACATCTCTGTCCATTCCAACGAAAAAACAAGCAATATGCTTAAACAAGTCCTTATCATTTGGGGATGGCAAAGTATCAAAGCTCTTTCTCAAAATATTATTTATAGGGGAATCATTTCCTTGCTTTAGTCCTTCTAGGCACTCCTCCCAATAAGCTAAATCTCTATTATGTAGAGATTTGCCCAAAACTTCAAGAGCCAATGGATGTCCTTCACAATATTTCACAAGCTTCTTTGACACCTCTTCATAACCGGCCTTGGGATCCTTGGACATGAATGCATGAGAACACAAAAGTTTTCGTGATTCAGTCTCATGTAATCCTCGAAGCAAGTGCTTTATATGCCTGCGCTTAACATTCATTTTGAATAATGCACAACTCTCTCCCAAGCATGAGTTGGTTGTTGTAATTATGATTTTGCTTCCTGGATGAAAACCTTTGCTCCCAAGTAAGGCATCCAACTGGTTGAGATGATCAATATCATCAAGAACTAAAAAAACCTTTTTACGGGCAACCGCATTCTCTATCATTGGCGTGGATATAAGACCATCATGAACTTGACCTGAACTTGGTACAAGTTCTGAAATGTCATCATAGAGTTGTTTTTGTAGGTAAAGCAGCCCATTAAAACCATTGCTTCTATTTAATTTTTCATCACATCTCCTACTGATATCTTCAATAAAGCAACTTTTGTCGAATTCATACGAATGCAAATCATAGACATATTTGGCTAAAGACGTCTTTCCGATCCCACTGATACCCAAAATAGTGAGTATGTCTCTCGTATGTAGGGATGCATCTTTCAACCATGAAGTGATGAATTTAATGGATGGGTACATCCCAAAAAGTTGTGGCAGATGACTCCTTGAGGATATACGTAATCTAGAGTAGATGTCCTTAACTATTTCTTCAATAAACTCCGTCTCTAGCCTGAAACTTGATTTTTAAGAACCACAAAACACAATCCACAAAACTAACAAACCAGATTTGGAGTTTTAATTTATCCAAAGACCCGAGTCAAAATTATATCATAATCTATAACTATATAAGTATCTAATGTGTAACATACTAATGTCATGATATCCAAGACCAGAGACATCTTTGCAAAAAAGATTTCACCATCAGGCCACCAGGTTTCATTATGTTTCTAAAAGACCATAAAAAATTTAACTTATAATATGATTTTGCAAGAACCTAAAAAAAATGTCATGGATAGAAACCATTAAAACTTGGTTTTTAATACAAAGGCGGCATATGAAAATTATTTTAGTTGAAACAGTGGTTTATATAAGAATAAATTAATTTAGGATAAAATAATAATTTGTCAGAATGGTTAATGTATCCATATGAATAGATTTATCAGGTCACATAACTGAATTCATGAATCCAATTTTATGTACCTGTATATCATTTTAAATACGTAAAAAAAATTGTCTATTTGATGATATTGAGGAAACTTATTGAAATGCATATGAGATATAATATTGACATTTCATGTGTTAATCCAAGAAAAAATGAAAAAATGGAAAGAAATGGGTTATTACCGGCCATTTACATCCTTTCGTTCTAAATCAGCAACTTCTGTAAGCGCTTTCTTCCACCGTTCGATCTTTTGAGCTATTTCACTTCTTTTATTTGCATCTGTCTCTGCTTCCATCTTTCTATTGTGTTCATTCATTGCATATCCAAAGGTACTTTGTTGATTCCTGACATGGGTGGGTTCAACATGATACAAGACGGGGATAACAATTTGGTTGGATGCCCTACGTTGATCAAGGATCAGCACCAATTCATCAAGGCACCAAGTCGATGAAGCGTAATTGCGGGACAACACGATAATAGAAGCCCTAGATGCTTGAATCACGCTCTCCAAATCAGTTTTTAGATATTCCCCGGTTTCAATCTCTGTATCATCCAAGAAGGTGGTTATATTGGCATACTCGAGGGCCTTATACAGATGATTAGTGAAGCCATAACGAGTGTCAGCCCCTCTAAAACTTAAAAATACGTCATATCTATGACGATCAATTGATGAAGAACATGAAGGTTCTACGAGTTCTGAGAAGATAGCCATTATGAGTAAATATGGACGGTATTATTGATTTTAGACTGGATTGAGAATCATACAAAGGGTTATGGATGCATCAAGGGGGTTTTCAAAAAGGGGGTTCAACTCAGCAATGAACAAACTAGTGTTGATGGATGATATATCTTGTTTGGGAATTTGCTTGGAAACTTTGAGTTAGGACTTAGGACTTGGGAGTTAGGAATTAGGAATTGACATTATATGTTATCGACAAAATTACATAAATGGTCCTTACATATAGGAAAATCGGTAATTTTTGTACTCTCGTTTTTATTTTTGTATGTTTCATCCTTTGAGTTGTTCTCTTAACCTTTTGTAAATAACCATTTTATTTTATTTTATTTTTGTCATTTTCCTATTAAAATTTTATTTTCTTTTTAAAAGACGAAGATCCTGTTTTCTGATCGGCCACTTTCTGATTGGCCACTTTCCCTATGGGGAACTATAATCACCGTTCACACCTCACAAAACCACATGATCGTCTTAATCCTTATTGTCTACATCAACTAAAAGATAGTATTGATCGATAGTATAACATTATATTTAGTAGTTTACTATTCATCAACACTATATATAGTGTAAGTTTTAGTGTGGGTTTGAAGCATTTTAGTGAGTTTAGTGTGGGGATAGAGATTTCCCTTAGATCACAAAGTTTCGAATGAAAAAGGTTTGGTTCGATCATCATAACTCTCAGTTTTTTCTTTGCATCTCGCCCCCAACTATCTTCCTTTCACCTCCCCCCCCCCCCCCCCAACTTAATATACATTTCCTTGTTATTACCATTTTCTTCTGTTTTGTTTACCAATCATCTTTATGTGAAGGAGATGGGAGGGTTACAAATTTATCAGAGAAGCAGTGTGTAGATTCTCAATGTGGAGATTCTGATTAGGAAAAAGAGCTAGGACTCAGGTAGGAGATGTTGAAGAATGGTTCCATGTGATGACAGTGAAATGTAGATAACAAAGACTAGCAAATTAATGAGTTTAGGTTTTTATTTATTTTTGTTTTTTGTTATATCATTTGAAGACAATGGAAGAATCATAAAAAAATAAACATAAGCTAAAAAGTTCATTTAGAGTAAATTTGTAACAACCCATTCTCACCTTACAGTAGAATTTACTATAAACGTTGGTTTATAAAGTATGAAGTAGAAATAGGTTGATTATTAGCCTAAGTAATCTAAACGAAAGTTACAGTAATCGTAAAAACGAGATGGTACATATAGAGAACGTCCAAATCTGACTTCATTTTGTAGCACCCGAGTCACCAGGTATGAGTTAATGATTCATTCTATTTAAATTCAAGTAAAAAGATGGTGTGGGACTCGTGAGTACGTTGGGCGTACATTTGGTACGCACATCATACTCCTTGCATGCGCTTCATCGGGTGATCCCCGATGTACGTTGGTGTAACATTCCGTTTATTAAATAAATAAATAGATAAAATTAATAAATGAAAAGTAGCCCTAAATGCGGAATAATTTAGCAAAGGCGTAGGTTTTGGGGGTTAAAAAGTCATAATTGAGAGTTTGGGGGCTCAAATGTAATTTACAGATTAATTTGTAAAGAATTTTGAGGGTTGAGGGCTGTTTAGTAAATTATAGCTTTAAATTGAAAGGATTTTTGAAGACAGGGGTTGCTTGGTAATTATTAGGACTTAAATTGAAAGGACTTTAGAGTGATAGGGGCTGAATGGTAACTTTTGGATCTGTTTTGAAAGAAAAGGAAAAAGGAGGGACCGATTGTGGCATTATGGGATGAAGTTTGTATGAGTTGGGGTGTATAACCCGTCCCATAACCCTAACCCTAGGAGCTCTTTCAGCCGCCACCTTCACTCAAACAACTCCGGCCGCCACCACAGTTCACTTAGTTCGTTCCGACCAGCTAGCGGCAACCAAGCGACCACCCGAATTCCTTTATTTCCGACCTGTCGAAGCTTCGATCAACCATCGTCATCAGCCGATGACCATACCGTCATGTGAGCCGCCAATCAGCACTGTCGCTGTTCCCTTTTCTGGTGATGACGAAGACCACCAGCGGGTTCCGTCCCTCTGTCACTGCTGCTGTTGTTCGCGGTCACCACATCTCTTCCCCATTCTTCTACCGATGTGTCGTCCCATTGAAGAAGAAGCCGTTGTTGCTGCCGACAACGCCGACTTTAGGTGCGAATGTTGCCGCCGTTTGTGCCCCTGTTGTCCGCCGTACGCCACTAGGTGGGTGGTTGAGCTCATCTTGTGCAAGGACGTGTGTGTTGCGTGATCAAAAATCAAAGGGGGACCACCACCACCACTGTGAGGTGGTGGCTAGCACATTTGACCACCACCTGCTACCGTGTTGGGTGGCGGTGTGCATTTTATTGTGAATGGATTGTTATTTGAGATATGCTTGGACATGTTTTGGATCTATAATCACAACTACCACCACCACGAGGTGGTGGTTGCCGCCGTGAGCCACTGTTGACCACCACTACCTGAGGTGGTAGTGGATCGTGTCCGACCTAATGAAACCCTAATTGATCTAAATACTTAGCTTCTGGGCCTAATTGGCGTGTTTTGGGTTGTAAACCCTAATTAGGGTTTAGAAAACCCTAATCTTGGAGATTTTAGTTTGGACTTGCTGGGACCCGCATTTTGGACCATTAGATTGGAATTATGAATTAAGCCTGACTACATTGTATGAATGGCCTATTGGAGTGATGGACTTAATGGATTAAGTCCTTAATGGGTTAAGTAAGAACACTTAACCCTAATTGTCATTTCATGTGAGAAACGCTAATTTTGGTTGGGCCTTGAGTTGAGCCTTTATGTTGGGCTTTGGTGATTGGGCTATTGATAGGCCATCTAAAAACAAGTATATGGACTAGAATATTTGGATTGGGTTTTAGGATAAGGCCCATTGGAAAGGCTTGGGCCCAATTTGAAAAATTGGACCATAGATGGGCCATAATTGGGCCTTGATGATCATGAGATATTGGGCCATCGGAATGCTAAGTGTTTGGACTAGAATAAATGGTTGGGCCATAAGGTAAGACCATGTGGAAGTTTGGGCCCAATTTAGAAAATTGGGCCATATGTTGGGCCTTAGTTGATTATTTGGCTTTGGGCTTTCAGAGTGTGAAATTGGGCTTTGGTCTTGAACCAAGCTAGGATAGGGGTAAAATGGTCCTTTTACCCCAGGTGTGGATTTATGTTATGCATTGAAACCTAAATGGTTAATTGGGTTTTGTTTTGATGTTGACAGTTTGGGGATCTATCAGCCAGCAGCCAAAGATTTATTTGTGGGACTTCAGCAGTTTTAGGTGAGTTTTCCTCCAGTAGGAACATGTCGAAGGCACCAATGCTGACCTGCTTATGTATGTTAGCGTATGTAGGACTAAGGTCCAATGTCGGGGTTAGCCCGATGTAGGTGATATGTTTCCGGTCTTTGGTCTGATGCCGGGGAAAGCCTGAGGAATGTTTGTATGCTTGATGTCTTCATGATTCTTGCATGTGTATGTTTATATGTTCTGGGCTTCTGTGACATCCCCGTTTTCACGGCCAGAAAAGACCGATTTTGTTTATGCTTTATAAAAATCAGAGTACTTCATTTTATAAAAATGTTGCGGAATTTGTTCCTAGAAAAACATGGTAAATACGTTATTAAAACATTTTCGAAGAAACGTATTTATTTCATTTTAAAACGTTTGGGATGTCATCGTTAATATGGAAACATAAGCATAAACAAAACTTACAATTATTTACACTAGTGATCTACATCTCTTTAAATCTCTCAGTGTAATGTCACTTCATATCAACACCTGTGATATAAATAAACCGAGTGGGTCAGGTTGGGAAACCTGGTGAGCACATAGGGTTTTCAACCCACAAAAATATAGTTATTATTTTTAAACATCAAGCAATCAACCCAATTACCCATTCCCGTTATCCTCACATTACGTCCCTAAAACATCTAACACAAGGGACTTAGTCAAAGGACTATCATTGGGATGGAGTGTACCTGGTGAGCACACAGTTCACACAGTTCGAATGAACACACAGTTTGAATAAACACCTACAGGTTGCGAGCCTGCTAGTGTTCCACTGGACTGTCTAGAATAGTCCGTGGTCGTCATCTATACTCCGCTAGATGACTAGATCATCAAGAACAGCTATAACGAGGCCTCTCATTATTTTTTTTTGTCACACAACAACTATTACATCTACCCATGTTTTACCCAACACATTTTGTAGATATAAAATACATATACAGTTTAAATCATTGAAAACATGTATAAAACGTTCATCCAGCATAGATAGCAAGTATTCAGATAATATGCACACATAGCACGTAATTTATATAAAATACTTCATATTTATGTGTAAGCTGAAAGTAACTATGCACTCACCTGAGAAGGTGGTGACTCGGTACTCGGACAGCGCTTCGTTTACTTTAAAATAATTTCCTTTGACGAAACCTAGTATTATCACCACTAGATTTTAGTCTAATATTACCGTGACTAATTATTATTATTATTATTATTATTATTATTATTATTATTATTATTATTATTATATAAGCGTTTAAACAATACTTTCCAACTACTATGTACAGACAGGGGCAGACATAAAACACTGGAGGGCAGGACCATTTTGGTGTATAGCACTTCTGAAATCCAACAACCCTATGCGGCTCTTTAAACCAGATTCCCCGTACTGCGAGTAGTTAAAAAGATATTATAACGACACTTATATAAGTCATAATAATAGCTCAAATATTTATTATAAATTTATAATAACAATACTAATTTTAAACATAAACTATATTTAAAATAGGGTACGTATAACTTATTTTCAAGGGGATTTTAGCTAGGAGTCGGGCTCTGCAGGGGCAGAACTTCGTCATTGAATCTTTCTAAGAAAGATTCGTGCAACGCTTCAGCGCTCACCTTACTATACTAAAACTACAGAAAGAGAAGTCGAATCACGAGGGACCGAAATGCTCGGGGATAAG